ACCTCGACGCCTTTGTTTTAGGTATTGGAAGATCACGTTCGTGCTCGCCATCAGTCGTCCAGCTCGAAATTTCTCAGGTATGATTTTTGGTAGCATCATCTACCAATTCGTCCTCTTCCTAACTATTCTTATAGCATAAGAATAATATTCCTTTTATATTCGATATAATTTAACAATAGAAAAATTAAGATATTTCACTCCATTGTTTATCTGAACTGTATAAACATTTTAGGTGTCCTAAAGTTGTTCAAGGGTCTCAATAAAACTCAACCCCACAAATTAACTCTAATATATGGGAACCTGGTTTTCTTGTTCAACATATTTTCGAGTGAATAAAATTACTTGTGATCTGATTGAGTTCAATTTGCAACATTCAACATATTTCCCAAAAAGAGTAAGGTTAATTCTTACGAGCTCTACTTGACTAGCTCAAGTTGCACAAAATTCATAGAATAATGCTTGTGTTACATAATATTTTGTACATAATGGGTGCCTCCACTTACATGGTGAGGGGCCCACATGAATATTATATTCATGTGGGCCCCCATGTACAAAATATTATGTACATGTAGCAAACTCCAAATTCATATACAGAAATCGCGCTTCAAAAATTTGAAGTCCTTTCAAGCTTGATCATGAGAAGTATCATTTACTTGTTAATTAGGTGCCTCAAAATTTGGCCAAAGATTGAAAGATTGCGTGTTATCTTGGTTTAGGAAAGAATCATTAAGAGCCAGGTGAAAAAGGAAAGAAATCAATTGCATCCAAAATTAAGTAAATAGTATTTGGGTGCCGAATTTCTTTCTTTTACGTGGTTTTTCTTAATTTCCATATTTTAGCATAGTTTTAGGGTTTGACTCGTGTACTATAAATATGTGGCTTCTCTTTCAATTTTGTTTTAACTAAATTGCTGTGTCATTATAATTCTCTCCATATTGTTGGGTTTAATAAAATTTATTGTTCTTCTGCTTAGTTTTTCTTTTTCTACTTTACTTTAATCTTGTTTTCGTGATGCGATCTTGAATATTTCATAATTATCATTAATCTCAATCTTGCGTCACCTTTGGGATCAATAAGTGGTATCAGAGCACGGGTTGTAGGTTCTTCGTGATTTGGTTGATATTTTTTAAGGATGAATTCGTTGAAATATGAAATTCTGCTACTGGATCGCAACATAAGATTTTCGCTATGACAAGTAAAGGTGAGGGCTGTGTTGACGCAGATGGATCTTGACGATACTTTGCTGAGTTTTGAGAAGATGCCAGCAAATTTGTCTATGGAAGAGAATCAACGGAGGGATTGAAATGCTCTATCACAGATTCATCTTCACTTATCTAAAAATATTCTGTAGGATATTTTGAACGAGAAGACGGCGACTGCTTTGTGGCTCAAGTTGGAGCAGTGTGCATGACAAAAAGTCTGACGAGTAAACTGACTCTAAAGTAGAAACTGTATTCCCATCGCATGGCAGAAAGAGGGTCACTGCAGGACCATCTTACTGTGTTCAAGGAGATCGTTGTAGATTTGGAGACGTTGGAGGTAAAATATGATGAAGATGATTTGGCCTTAATCCTGTTGTGTTCGCTACCCAGTTCTTTTTTGTCGTTTTGTAATATTATATTATATAGTTGTGACACGCTGACCATTGAGGAGGTATATGACGCTCTATTCTCAAATGAGAAGATGAAGCTGTTGGTTGGAGATCCTACATCTAGGGGTGGGGATGCTTTGGTTACTCATGGTGATCTACGGGGGGTAGATTGAAAGTGAGGTACAGCAATGTGTAAGGCTAGGCAAATCTTTCGAACCGAACCGACCGAACCGAACCCGACGGTTCTTATCAAATTAAATACCCGAACGGGTATCTGAATTGAGAACCGACGAGTATGGTTCAGCTCTCGGTTCTAGACCAAGAACCAAAGAATCGAATCTTTCTAATTTTTTTTTATATTAAGTAAATCAAATTATTTTAATTTTAATTTTTTCTAAACAAATTAACAAATTAACAATTTCTAAATCTAAATTTTTGGTCCAATAATTTGTATCATTTCTAATTTTTTAATTTTTGGCCCAATTACCCATTTTATTGTTTCATTTCTTAGCCAAACAAGATCCAATCCACTAAATAACTCTAAACACCTGCACAAAAGTGCATAACATTGTCTCGACTCTCGTACTCACTCTTGCAGTCTCGCTAATATTCCAAAACCTATACAATCATCGGCCGACACTGTGACCTCCGATCGAAACTGTGACCTTCGCCGACCGAAACTTTGACCGTAGCGATCATTTAAACAAGATAGTTTATTAGTCTCTAACATTCCAAAACCATTGAATGTATCATTAGTTGTACTTATATAATGTTGTTATAAATGTTAAAAAATTTAATTATAGTACAGAATCGAACGGAATTGAACTGAACCTAACCGAACCGAACCGAACCGAACCCGAACGGTTCCATAATTATATTTGGACCCAACGGTTTCATTTACTAGATACCCGAAAATTTTGGTTCGGTTCTCTTTAGAACCGAACCGAACCGACCCGCGCCCACCCCTAGCAATGTGTATTGTTATTACTGCAAGAGGAAATGACATATTAAGAAAGATTGCGACAAGTTGCAAGGTAAAGGTGATTTACATGCAAATCATGCGGGGCAATCAAGTAACGAGACTAATATTGTTGAGAATTTTTTGGATGATGGAGATGTAATGTTGACTATATTTGATAGGGAATCCAAACCTGGGGAATGGATTCTGGATTTCGCATGTTCGTATCATATGTGTCCCAATAGAGATTTGTTTCAGACATATGAGACGGTGAAGTAATGTGGAGTTGTCATGGAAAACAACCAATCCTGTCGGGTTGTAGGAATCGATCGGGTCAGATTGAGGCTACAAGATTGGACGATGAGGACACCTGATCAGGTTCACCATGTTCTAGACTTGACAAAGAATCTCATATCCCTGAGTACCCTAGATGCAAAAGGGCATAAATTCTCTGGTGGAGGTAGAGTCTCAAAGGTCCGAAGGAGTGTCCGGGTTGTACTGGAGGAACGGAAGAACTCTCAATTGTAAATCCTACAGGGAAACGCAGAACCAATTAAGAGACATTTAGAAAAGTTCAGTACCGTGGTGGAAGTTCAGTTTGGTACAGTACCTCTTGTGGCGAGCTCTGAGTTGGTTAAGAACACTGTTAGGGAGAGCATTGGTAATTCCACTTTGCCACCAATTGCAGCCGATACACTGTGTTCAGTTGCTAGGGTTGGACTCATGGAGCGTAGGTACGATGGTGTCAATAATGTCTGGAATGCTTTAAGGGATGTCGAAGGCGACAGTTTTAGCAAGAGGCCTTCTAATCCAGTATGTGGTATGGTTTCTACTACATGGTGTGTTTCGACCCTATTTGGTCAACAGTAATTCCTTGGTGGAATTTTGGGAACCCAGAATTTAGGTTCGAGTGTTGCTTGTGGACGCTGTGCAGAGGACGATGGTTTTGGTGATAGAGAGTTTGGTTACTATGTAAAGGAGATTGGCTATTTCGATGCAGACAGCTTTGAAATTTTAAAGTTTTGTTTGTTGCACAGAAATTTCGAGTCAAGGTGGAGATTGTTAAGTAGGTGTCTCAAAATTTGGTCAAAGATTGGAAGATTGCATGTTATCTTAGTTTAGGAAAGAATCATTAGAGTCAAGTGAAAAAGGAAAGAAATCAATTTCATCCAAAGTTAAGGAAATAATATTTGGGTGCCGGATTTCTTTCTTTTACGTGATTTTTCTTAATTTCCATATTTTAGCCTAGTTTTAGGGTTTGACTCGTGTACTATAAATACGTGGCTCCTCTTTCAATCTAGTTTAAGTCAAATTGCTGTGTTGTTGTAATTCTCTCCATATTGTCGAGTTTAATAAAATTCATCATTCCTCTGCTTAGTTTCTCTTTTTCTACTTTACTTTAATCTTATTTTCATGGTTCAATCTTGAATATTTCATAATTATCATTAATCTCAATCTTGCATCACTTTTGGTATCAACAGTACTTGTGTGGAGTAAAAGCTCAGAACTTAACCTTCCATTCGACTCCACCTCAATAGTTATGTTCCATTGAAAGCATGCTCGACTCCAAACTTCTAGGAACAAGCCAAATTTTAAAAATAAAATCGAACTTCAGATGAGCATATAATACGTGAAAATTCATTAAACCAATACATGCTCCACAATACTACTAAGATGTGAAACACTTAACAACATCCACAACCCAATTATAAGGTTTCGAGATCAATCTAATAAAATGTTTAACTATTGGTCTAAAATTTTAAATATTATTTGAAGAAAATATTTGTTACACCTATCATTTGTTAAGTTATATAAGTTAACATACAAAATTAACCTTCTTCACTAAAATGGATGTGTATTTATTTTTTTTAATTATTATTATTTTTTTTGATGACTCAGGTGTCCGAGCTTCACCCAACTAGTTCCGAGGAGTGGTGACTTTCCCCCCTAGTTCACTACTCGAGTAAATTCGAATAGATTATAGCTTATACACATTTGGGTCAAACATTCAAGATGTAGTAATTCTCCTTGTGGACCTCCTTTTACGACGTTCGGACAGAACCCCCGAAAGGGTGACAAAGCGTACCATAACTTTGCCTTTACAGAACATCTACCTTCCAATATAAATGTTGCCTTCCATCTGTCTTAATATTGATATATTGGGTAGAAGACAATGAGTAACTAAACTTCCAACAAACCTTTCGCGTTAGCTACTGATCTTAATCTGTTCCAATTTTGTTTCAGTTTGGTCACTCATATTGAAGTAGATGGTTCCTCTAATGATATATCCAAAGTGAAAGATGACAATCTAACATGGCATTAACATAGAGATGTTCCAGGTCGGACATTCCATCACAAAAAGTAAAATATTTTAATTGAGTGAAAAAAAAAAGAAAAAAAAAGGGAAATTCTGTAGCCACCTTAAAACAAAATAAAATTTGGCAACTAAAATGAAATAAAGCATAAATTATCCTTGTATTTCTAATGATTTTTGGAACTGAACATCAAATCCTCAGCTCATATAGCTGCAATTTCAATGGAGGATATCCTTTACGAAATCACACACTCAGGGAAAAAAATGAAAAAGTTCACAGCGGCCAGTAGCAAAAAGTTAAAGAAATACTGAAATCAAGCACTTTGAAGAAACTTTAAGGTCTCATCAATATGCTTTTCAGGCTGGAACTGATTATTGTACACAAGTCGAACCACTCCATTCTTGTCAAGAACATAAGTTTGCCGTCCCAGCAATGCACCGAATAGGTCTCCCGGGACGCCCCACTCTTTTCTAACCTTGTTACCTTCATCACTAAGTAATGTAAATGGAAGTCTGTGTTTCTTTACAAAGGCCTGAATTAATACAAGAACTTCTGTCAAATTATATGTAATTTGGAAATGTGTGGAGCATAATTTTGAAATTATTCTGTCAAAAAGGTTCAAAATGTAAAATTTTGCATGCATTTCTCGCATAATTTCGCATCCATTTTGGGTTCAGGTAAGCAAATTAACCCAAATGTTAAAAAAAAAGAGCAAATTAAACTAGGGAACTTACTTGCAAAACAGCGATAAAGGCAGGAACTTTAACACACTATCCGTTGGGAAAAACACCACCACACGCTAACAAGCCTATACACTTAAATGGCATATAGTGCGATAAAAGTTCATGGATTGGCAAGCAAAAGTACACGCTGGAATGAGCCAAGCATATATTTTAAATTAGGAATTAGGAGTTGCAAAAGTGACAAACCAATTATACTATAAATTAATAAAAAGATTGAACGCATGTAATCTAGACCAATAACAAATTAACCAGTAATTATTATATGGAAAGAAGAAAGAAATATTTTCAAGACCCATATTTTAGTGAAGATGACAGAATATATGGGAATTCCAATTGCACCCAAGATAAAGAAGTTTTTTGGGCGAAGCCAGGGCATGCAGAATTTAAACTGAAAGGATGGGGCCTGTGAGGGGAAACCCGGATGCCAATCAGGGTAGAGGCACCATAAGAGATTTTAATGGGAACCTTGTGGTGGCATTCTATGAACCTTATGGGGTATGAAGAAATTCAGAGGCGGAACTTCATTCAGTAAATGGCTGATTAAAATTTTTTAGCGAAGGAATATCTCCCAACTTTGGATAAAAGTTGACTTGATTATGGCATCAGGATTCATCACAAAGAGTAGAGGCCCTTGGCATATCCAATACCTAGTGGAAGAGAGATTGGATTTATTGAAGTAATTTTTTCGTGCATTTCTCCCACGTATCACGCAAGGCAAATATGGCTGTTGATTTCTTAGCCAATGAAGGTATCTACACTCAACATTTGGTAGAAATCTTACCAAACGAAATTAGAGGAAAGCTATGCGGCATTCTTGATAACACCGGTTGCAAGTTCTAGTTTATTCTTGTAATGGAAGGGGTCCCTCCATGTTTAGCTTTTCTAAGTCTATCTGCCTTGTACCAAATGTAGTTTATGGAGGCTAGTCAGGAACGTCCCCTCCCATTTGCACGTCAAATTTATATCAGTAGACATGGCAGGACTTAGGAGTACTACCAACAAACCCCCCACAAAAAGGGAAAAAAAAATGATATATATTCAAGACCCAGTTTCAGTAGCTGAAAAAACCAGATTCATTTATTAACCAGTTATCAGGCGACTAAATTACCGTGAATATAAAAAACAGATACACATTGCCTTAAGTTTAGATTAGAAAAAGAGAATTAGAACTGCAGAGTCTCCATTACCTTGTGGGATGCTGCATCATCCCCACTTATCCCGACAACCTCAGCTCCGGCTTTCTTAAATTTTTCATAAGAGTCCCTGAAGGCACAAGCCTGATAACAGTGTGAAAGCATTCATTAGAATAGCTGATGCAAATTGGAAAGTATATTCTAGGCGTAAACGGAATCAAATCAATTAAAGATCAAATTTTCATTATTGCATTTTTATTGTTTTGGTAGAATAATGCATTTGTCTCCTTTCTAGTTTTCCCTTTTTATTGTAATTTTCCTTTTCATTGCTATTTGGAACTTAGAAATTGAGGTTCTTTGATTATAATAGACACACTTGATTATTGAATAAAAACTACAATCTTCCCCTCATTTCTCTCTTCCTAACCTATTCTCATTCTCTATTATCATTGTGATTCGTGGCAATATCACCCATCATTCTTCTCAAAATCTTTATCTTATGCAGCTGTCAGTGTTCAACATATATTATCTATGACGAAACACAATAAAATTTCCAAAAGACTAATAAGCTAAAGTTCTGTTTCATCAAGCTTCATGAATTTCCTACCCCAATAGTTTTTTTCCTTTCCTTTCTAACATCAGAGGTATTTCTTATCCAAAAAACATCAAGAAAGTAGATAAATGCCTAATCACTTTCTAATAAAGAAAACTCGGAATTGCCAATTAAAAGGGTGCAAAAATTTGTGCCAATTTGGATGCTCTATATATATATGTACCTGTTTAGTGCAACCTGGGGTTTCATCACCAGGGTAGAAATAAACCACCACAGGCATGCCTTTGAAGTTAGAAAGACTTATATTCCTCCCATCTTGATCTTTCAATGTAAACGGTGGTGGAACCGAACCTTCTGACACCTTCACAGTTTAAAAAAAAAAAAACTCAGGAACTGAAAATTACTAGAAAAATTGACAAGAACATACAATGCTATTTTTTCCCTTCAAAATTACTTGCAGGAAAATGGAATCTATTATCTTGAAGAACAAGGGTGGGGTGTAAAATTTTAAGAAACTTGCAGATAAATGTTCTTGGTAAATATACCTTGGCTACAATAGAACTTTTGACCAGAGAAGAAACTGGGATTGGAAGATAGGATGAATGAGACAGCTTCAGGCCATAAAATTGAGACTGAGAATATCTAGAAAGGGGAGAAAGATTTTGGAATAATGTGAGTTTTGGGGTTTGAGCATACAGTGGAAAAGGAAGAGAATGATTGGTAGAAAGAGAAAAAGAAGCCATTTTTGGAAAGAAAAGGAATACTGGTTCTCTAATTCTTTCGACGGTGAATCGCAGTCTACCCAGATTTCCGTATAATTTTGCTTCAGAAATATAAGGGGAAAGAGCATACCGGAGTACCGTGGGAGTAGAATTGGGGTGGCGGGAACGAGGGGTATAGCTTTATCTAAAGCCCCGTTTGGCTCCCATTTTTATGAAAATGAAAATGAGTGAAATTGTATTTTTTTTTAAAAATAAGTGGTTAAAAAAAGATTTTTTTATTTACATATAATATTATTTTATAGAAAATTGTGTGACTGACAATAGAAGAGAAAAAAATGAAATATAATGAAATTTAATGTAATGAGATTCAAACAAGACTCCATCATCAACTCTGCATCAAACTAAAATTCATTTCCAACAATTATACCAAAATTTACACCAAACGAATAATGTTTTATTATTTTATTCATTCTTTTGATTTTTGACAATGTATTTATTTAAAAAAATTATTTATTTATTTTATAACTATATAAATTACTAAATAATAACTATGTTAAATTAACAAATATATTGAATTATTATTGATTACTAAATTATTTACATATTTTATATATTATGTTAAATCGACAAAAATAATTACTAAATTAAAAACTCCCTAATTATTATTGATTATATTATTAAAAATTTCAACTTTAATAATATAATTGATAATGTAATTGATGATGATGATGATGATTATTATTATTATTATTATTATTATTATTATTATTATTATTATTATTATATAATGAAAATGACACAAATACTCTTAATCATTATCCTTGAAAAATGAAAGAGAAAGGTATACCATTTGGTGCAAAAAATGGTGCAATAAAAAGTGGGAGGGACGTTTGCACCAAATTTTGGTGCAATTTGATGCGGAAGGGTGCCCATTGAAGATGCCCTAAGGGGTTTGTTTGGCTAGAGCTTGCTTTTTGTAGAAAATTTTTCTAAAGAAGCCATTTTAAACTAATTTTCTATAAAAAGCTCTTTTAATATACTAAGACCTCATTTGATTATAATTATTTTCGAAACACATTTTCCTCTTTATTCTTTTCAACAACTCATTTTTAACAAAATAATATTACACGTAAACCTAAAACTTTTCTTTATTCTTTAATCACACATTCTCCATCAATTTACTATTCCAAAATGCATTCTTTATCATATCATGGGACAAAAACAAGGGCTAAGTTCACATTTGGTATAACTTTTGAAAAGTCAAAAGGAATTTTTGAGACTCAAATGTTGCTTTTCAACTCATTTGGTTAATTTTATAAACATGTTTATTTAATTAGAAGAATTTTTAGAGAAAATTGATTCAATGTTATTTTCTTCAAAAACACTTTTGGAATCGAAATCTCTTTTAATTAGTTTTCAAACAAAACTTGAGGTAGATTTCTCTAGAAGTTCTTCTATATATGAAGCAAAAACAAAAGCAAAATTCATACTAAGCGGGCTTAAATACTTCCAAAAAATTATTCCAATATATTCAAAAAAATTCTTAGCGTCAATTTTTCAAAAGCCTTGTCAAACGACCATAAATATTATGAGCATTGGTGAACACAAATATTTTGAGTTAGTGGCATACTCAAACTAGCAAAAAAGTATAAAAACATTTGGTATCTTATTAGAATTGTTCTCTATGAGCTTTCATTCATAATATCCTCAGCATTAGTTTCAATCGGATCACCTCAAAGACTAGTTTCATCCCTAACAATGAAAGCAAACTATAAATGTAATTAAAACCTCCTCTTTATTACTTTGAATTTTGTTCAAAAAATAAAATTTGAAATTATAAGTTATTGTCATCTACCTACCGATTTGCCTTTCAATTTTATTTAACATATTTTTTAAATATCAATAGATAATTTATTAAAATATTATTTAAATAATTGAAGGAGCAACTTATATTTAAAATGTATTTTAGACTGGAAAATATCTTCACATTAAGAAGATGGACTTGTTAGCCTAATCATAGCTCTTAGCATTAGGGGATAGACCTTGACATTAGCTAGATCATCTTAGCCTAGGGTTAGCCTTTAACATTGGTGGATTGCTTAGATCTTAATAGTTTTATCTTTTTCCTTTAAATAATGATATTTAGCATCAATGTTATTAAAGTATCAATTTAAGTAATCATATTTGATATGTTCAATTAAATGTATCATGAGACATTACATTTAAATGAACTTATCATTTAATTACATGTAATTATTATTTAGATTGGTGTTGAATATTATTAATCTTTTCCTTTATGGTTAGATAAATCCCGCAGTATCAACATTGTGATATACGCCATGCCCTTAATGTTATGAGTAAGTTTCACTTTTTAGAATGGTCTTGTTTAATGCCTGTTTGACACCTATTAAGTTATTTTATGATTTGCTATAGAACTATTTTCAACCATATATTCACATAATAAAATATCCTATATGTATACAAAAAAATTTCTCTACTTTTTAACTTCGCAATCTTTTAAAAATCACTATTTAAATCTCTTATTTTTCTACAATAATGGTTGTCAAACAAGCTCTTAATGTAGAGTGTCTACTCAACTTTAAACAAGGATAATACATCATAAATGAATAAAATTTGATAGGTGTTGACAAAAAATAGAATTCTCATTATCTTCGAGCCAATATCTACTTTGAAATCATGTGTTGACGACCTCTTTGTGATTAGTGCTGACTAACGAAATCGTCTAATCACAAAATCAAATTAAAATGGCTTTTCAAAAGCGTTGATTCGGGTCCATATGGATCCATTAACATTTTGATTTTGAACTGAAAAACAGTTTGAATCAGGTTTCAATTTTTGTAAAAAAGTCTAAAAGTAAATTCATTTAAATCTATCCAACCCAAGTAGAATTTAAAATATCTTAATAAAAAAAGATACATCCAATTTTGCTCTTACCCAATTAGGAAATCATGCATTACAATTAATTAATTAAATCATAGCCAATTATCCCCATTGCTATCGCAATTGTAAATGCAAAATGTTCAAATTACTTGAAGCATTGAATGATTGTTGTTGAGCCATATTCATCGATTGTTCATCACAATCGAGTAGAAAATTAAATATAGATTTTAATTCAAATTCACACTATTTCTTTTTCTTCTACTAACAATTTCTCAAATTTGGACTTACCTTTCACATCAATATATCTATTTTTTTGTAGTTGTGTTCTGATTTTTGAAGGGCTTCCTTAAATTTTTAGTTGAATAATATTTTTGTTTATTTATATCTTAATTTCCTGATCAGATCACTCAATCTATTCTTCATTTTTTAACTTAGTTATTAGATTTTATTGTTAATTGTTACAATGATTTCGTAAATTATTTACGTGGTCGTTGTGAAGATTTGACCACTAATACTTTCGACATATTATTTTGTGAAAATTGAACGTAAATATGTATAAGATTATCGTAGAAATTATTAAAGAGAAGTTAGTTATTCAAGATTTTAAAATAGGGGTGAACGCGATTCGGTTTGGGCGTTTTATGCTATATTTTCAACTTAAATTATTTTATGCGGTTTGAAATTTTTCAAACCAAACCATTTTATTTTTCGAACCGAACTAAACCAAACCATAATTTGCAGTTTGGTTTGGTTTTAATCAGCAGTTTACCTATCGACATTATAGTAATATATTTAATATATGAGTTTAAACGATAACTAATAATGTTAAACGTTAAATTATATTCATATTTATCATGAAATTCATGAATAAATTATTTTCAAAGTTGCTTGCTAAAAGGTGTTCATAGAACAAATACATCCTACTTCATTTTTATTTACTTTTTCTTGTTTGACATTCATATTATCATATAGTGGTTAGTAAATATAAAGTTACATTCTGTTATTATAGTTTGGTTAAAACTCATTTCGTCTTGCTGGTGGATGTTAAATAAGAATTGAACGAGATATATTTAGATGTACAGAGATTGATAGAGTTTTGACTTATTGGGAATTGACAAATTTCATTTTCTAACTACTTTATGAAAGTAGAAGGTAATAGTACTAGTTAAGAAACTTTAACATTTTCACATAATCAATAAGATTCGTCCTTCATTCCTTTCAAACTACAAACAAATTCATTAATCATTTAGGCATACAAACAGTTATTTTCCTATTCAAACCACAATTAACAAGTGTATCATAAGTTCAAAAACAACAAATAAAAGAAAGAACAACGAAATAATGACTTGAATGAGAATTTAAGACTTACTGAAAGAGAAGAGAAAAAAAGGCGATTCAGGTAGAGACTAGCAGATTAACAGACAAAGGCGACTAAGAATTCGTTCAGCAGTGGCAAACAAACTTCAAATATTTGGGAAATGAGAGTTTATGAAATTTGGACGTGATTTGCTGACGTAATTTTGTTGAATTATGATTTGGATTGTTGAAAATATATGGTTTTTATTTTTTTTATTTCATATGATTTTGGAATAATTTTAGTTTAGTTTAGATACTAGGTGAGGACATGTGTTGTGAACTTATTAAATCATAAGTCCATAATGATGAAACTTATTTACTTTCTATGATTATTTCAATAGGCTGGTTGTAATTTGTATTGCTAAATTAGTATTTTTTGTGAAAAGTGAAAACTATAAAATTTTTAAGTTAATAAAATTATTGTTTTAATTAAAAAATTAAAAATGGTTCGATTAAATTTTGTGCGATTTTTGAAAATCAAAACCTAAACCAAACTATTTTGAAACGGTTTGGTTTGAGGAAAAGAAAACTACGGGTCCACGTGGACCCAAACCAAAGGTTTTAACTCAACAGTTTCCGTTCGATTTGCGGTTTCGTGATTTTTTTGTGCAGACCTACTTCCCAGTCCACATTCCTCACTAATTTTCATATTCTTGATTCTTTATGAGTTTATTGAGTGCAAAGATTGTTGAAGCGGTGATTCTCACTAAAAATTAGTTGCATGCTAGCAATAGAGGTATTGAATGATTAAGAGAAAACTATAGAAAATAATCTTGTAGTTGATCTTTCTGTTCATTTTTTTATTAGTTGCTTTATATCTTTGAATTATAATTAATAAATACATATTCTATATTTTTATTTTTATGCAAATAATGAATATGTGTTACTACTAGAGATGTTGAGCCA